TTAAATGCACTAAAAGTGAATTAGCACCTGATTTGGACCTGCAAATGGCGTGAGTGCCACTCGTTGCTGGACATTTTAAGTACTCGCTAAGCACTTGCATAGACAATACAACAACAATAAAGAATAATGAACGAGAACATTAAACAATGAACACTTATAATTTGAACATAATCAAATGTATTGCTGGGATTAAATAAAACAGCCTGTGTGTGTGTGGGAGTATCGCCTAACTGAAATCGAGGCATTTAAAACTATCTTTAAAAATTGTGTAAATAAGTAAGAATTTTGCAATCGATCTAATAACAAACTACTTCTTTACTTTACTTTACTTCGGCTACCAACTAAATTTTTAAATAGATATTGGACTTTCTCCCAGTGTGCGTAGGTACACTGTAATAGTTAGATAGGGTAATAAGTGTCCCACTTGGACTCTCTAGTTGTGCAAAATTTAGTTTTTTGTGATTTGCCTGCCCTTAGTGGGCGTGGTTAAAAAAACAGTAATGGTAATGGCCTGATACAAAGTATATACCTCAAATTTTAAGTTTTTAGCTTCAAGAGCGCCGCAGCAAATTGTGAATTTACGAACGGCAGAACAGATGGGCAGCAAATCGGATAAAGCACAAAGCTAAAAAGTAATATAAGAATATTTAGTCATTCTGCTCGACTCAAAAAATAGTTAGTGTCAGTGCGAGACTTTGAAAATATCTGCGTTTATGATTAATTGATTGTTTTCACTAGTGTTGTGAAACACAATCAGCAACAAGAGCCAGTGCTGCAAGCCTATTTAAAAAGATGTAAGCCTTATTGTCTTGGTGCATTTCATTTGCTTACATTTTAGTGCGTCATCACATCTTTTAAAGGAAATATTAAAATTGATTGAAGGCCTTTCAAGTTGTTTTTTTTTTTTGGAGAATTTAACTTAAAGAAAGTTGCTCACAAATATCTAATTACACAAAGTCTTATCGGTAACTTTATGTTCTTTAGGATTGCAAGTTGTCACCTTCTAGCTACAAATCATTGATGTTTCAGATGATCTGTCACATTCAAAACGATGTCCAAAATAGCATTACATTCCACACCATTAGACACAAAATCTATTTGTTCTAGGCCGTCCTGCAGTTCTTTCATAATTCAACTCAGAAGAGCAGCCAAAGCCAACTAAGCTACGCCGAGATAAGCTGCCATAGACCCGGAGTCCTCAGCAAATTACAACCCCAAAGCTGCCGCAGAACCAAATGCCGCATATGCCCAAACTCCACGCTCGCAATGGGAATCGCATTACAACTCCAAGCGGGCAGATGAAGTCAGTTTGTGCTCAGCTCGGTGCGGAATGCATAAATTTCAAAACAATTAGTTTCAATTTTGGAACCCGCAATGACAAACCGTGCAAATGAGCTGGGCAACACCTTTCGGGTTATCCCTTTTGCGGCAGATACAAGTGTTAATGTAGCGAATGACATTTGGCTATTAAGTCATACAGCGGATGCTGGCTGGGACTGGCACAGCCTCCGTTCGGTGTAAAAATGTTCACTTAATATTCCCTTTGATATGCTCAAGTGCTGCCAGCGGGACGAGGGGAGTACTCCACTGCTGCTGCTGCTACTGCTGGGGGAGGGTTGTTTGCTTTTGGGGAGGTGCGTGCCATTGCCTAATGAATTTTGCGAGCGGGCGTTGATTGTTCGGGTGTAAGGTTTTTATAATGAGACAACCTCAGAGCAACACATGTGTATCTCGCAGTTTGCGAAATGTATCTGCCATAAACTTTGCTATCAACATGTCGCCATCGTCGCACGTCGCCCCCACGTGGCCCTTTCCTGGCCGTGTCCGCGTCCAGGTTTGGGGTGAGTTTCCATTAACGCATTTGCATAAATATTTACATACATGTGTAGAGACACAGCTCTGCCGGGGCATGTCTCGGCCTTTAATGCAGCGCCCGTCCAAACTTTAAAATGTTGCGCTATTTCCGTTCACTTTTTTAAAGGGTGTCTAACAATTTGTCTGGAACCCTTTTGCTTTTGCATAAGCCGCAGACTTGCTTGTGCTTCTGTCGCAAGCAGCCAGCCCCTCACATATAGAGCTCCAGTCTTAAGTTAGTGAAATATAATTTCCTGCTTGTTGTGAACATTTTTAATCTACGGAAGGAAATGGGAATAAAGTTTAACTATGTGCTGGCAACAGCAATGTCGGCAAGCGATTGATTCTGATGTTAAATTTAGGTGAGGTGCGGGGACAAATCAGCTGAATTACATTTGAGATCTGCTGACATCATGTCGGATGGGGGTCTTGTAGCTAATATTTTGGAAAAAGAAGATCCGATTTAGCCGCTTTTGAGACTTGAGTTGCAGGATCTAAAATATTCTGCTCTATGTGATATTTTTTATTATACCTTTTTTTTTATTTAAAATGAGTACAGAGATATTGTACAAAAAGTAATAACAGACAGAAGTTAGCTTTTCGAATCGTTTAACGTATATATATATTCTTGATCAGCATCAATAGCCGAATCGATTGAGTGACGCCTGAAAGAGACTATATGAGCTAGATACATTATAGTTGTAACTTGAGTCCTCCTATGACTCGTGCAGATCGAGTCCTTTTTTCAAATATTCGCTAAATCACATAAATTCTATGAAATTAATAAGCATCGATTTGAAATATTGTTTTTGACCATATCTCAATTCCGGAAGTAGGCTCTATTAGAGTACAAAAATATACAGACGGTTTCACTATTTGGATACAAGCCCGAGAGAAATAAGTAATTTTTAAAAATTCAGCCTTGAGCTCTGGCTGTGCTGTACAGGATATCTCCTAATCAGGCATGCCTACCCAAACAACTTGGTAAGTTATCAAGGTGCTACTAATAACATCCTTGCACCCTTCGCCCTGTTGGAGAAAGGAGCAAATCGCATAGATGGGGCAATATTTCCTTGCATATAGATACAATTTTTAGTCGACTTAACGGAGTTTCGCCCAGCCCTAGAAGTATGCAACGATATGCTCAATAGTCTTGCCATCCTCTAGCACTCGCTCCATTTTCATTTTCTGCGATGCGTACAAAGAGAATAAGGTTGAAAATTCAAATTTTCCTATATTAGCATAAGATTTTGTGGCGGCGGCAAAGATTTGCCGACGCTTTGAATAGCCCCCGAAAAACCAGCGGAGACAAACGCAAAATTCAGTTTGCAAATAAGGAAACATGTGTGTGTGTGGGTGCGTGTGTGTGTGTTTGTGAGAGTGCGTGTGTGTAAGTGGTATGCAAATTTCAGTTAAGCAACAATTTGTCAGACAGCGAACAATGGTGAGGGAAAAGTTTGCAACAGGACTGAAACAGAAATCAAGCAAAACCAAACAAAAAGCAAAAGCAATTACAAAAGGCAAAGACCGAGTAGGGGGAGTGTCAGCAGGGGTTGGGGAGTTGGTCTAAGTCAGACAAGAGAATCAAACGAAATTAAAGTGATTTAATGGCATCTCTCCGTCATCTATGGATCCATTTACATGATTCGGGCTGCGAACGTTTCCCATGTAACTCATGTTAATGTTATTGTAGAACGAACGATAGGTGAGGGGAGGGTGGGGTGGTGTGTGTGTGTGTGTGGGAAGGGGGGCTGATTGACAACCAAGTCGAGACTCTCGCACAGACAGAGGCTCCTTCGATGATGATTTGATATGAAAATTGCCTGGAATTATTGAATTAACATATGCTCGAATTGAGCTCAAGCATTTCAATGTCTGCTCCAGAGCGGGGCACTTGGCAAATGGGGGACGTCGATTTGACTTTGTGATTGGTTGTGCGAGTGTGTGCTGGTGTGTGTCTGTGAGTGTGTGTTGGCATCTTATTACCAAAGCGTATTAGACATGATTGATTGCATTGAGCAATAATGATTTGTAGCCGAGGCATGTTTAAGTGCCTTTCTGTGTGTGTGTGTGAGTGTGTGCGTGTGGCTGGTAGGTCACGTGCAAGTGTGTGAAAGTGAATTGCATAAATAGCTACTTTTGGATAGCATTCGTAAACGCCGTGAGTTGCACAAAAGGGATTACAAATCCCATTGCACGCTCTGGGCTTGATCTGCCTATCGAGGCAGATGATTAGCCTTGCCAAAGTATTGCATACTTTACGGGTTTTTAAGGGAAAGCCTATTAGGGCAGCGGCGCTTAGAGAAAGTGATAGAGAACTACAAGCTTAACAAGTTCCTCTCTCCAGTGAGCTCAACAGAATTCAATTAATAAGTTATTGAATGGCCTACGATAAGCTCGTGTGTCCTGCCTGAAGAATTATGTAAGGAACAATTCACAACAAATAATATAATTTAACAAAAATAAATATATGTGTGGCTGCAAGCCAAACCAATTTGTTATAAGTCAACTTACAAGCTGTCGTAATATTTTCAATTAAGTTTGGATTAATTTTCTAAATGAGCATTTAAGGCCGAAGCCAGCCTTTGACTCGTTGTTGATATCAAACAGATTTCAGGAAGTTAACCTTATAAATTTATTCGCACGGAAAAGCAAAATAACTGAGACTTAAATATGAAAGCAATATTGTTGGATAACAGTTAAGCATATTTTTCAATGTAGAACATTTCAGCTGAAGTAAAAAGAAAAGTTTCGAAGAAACAAATAAAAAAAACAAAAAGAAAATTCTTTAATTCTCTTCAAGCCATGAATGTCAAAAAAGTTGTATAGGACAGCCTGAGCGGCACGGCTGTCATTTTTATTTTTTATTTATTTTTTTTGTAAACGTCATTATTATGTGCTGCAGAGTTTTGTTGTTTCTCTGAATTACTCTCACTTTGAGCAAACTGTTTGCTGTTGTCCAGTTTGCTGATTTTCCGTTTGCAGTTTCTCGGCAACTATTTGCTGTGTCTACATTTCATGGCGCTGACCCAGTTACCACCCGAAAAAGGCATATATATGCACTCGAGTTTGTTAAGTATCAGTGTAGGGGGGGGGGGGGGGCTGGAGGGGCATTTGAACTTTCACTCGGCTCGATGGCAACTTACCTCGAATCGATGCGCTGCAAATAGTCCAGGCGGCTCAAGTGCAATTCGCGCAAATGAAACAAGTTTAAAAATGCGACGGCGGGCAAGTATGCAAAGCGATTGCCGCCCAAGTTCAAATAAGTGAGATTTGAAAGTTTCGAGAGCTGCTGCGTGGGTACCATCTGCAAAGAGAAGAAGAGAGAGAGAGAGTGAGAAAGAGAAGAATGGGAACGAGTAGTAAAAAATCATTTAATTTCGTACGTTTAAACAAACTGAGAGCCAAGCTTGGGAAAGCCGGGCTTATAAAATGTTAATGCCATCCACTCAGCTTTAAAAGCGTTTTGTGGCTGCACTTGATAGTTGCCACTAAGTTGCCCTTCGCTGTCTGCCTCCCCCATCCCCTCCCCACCGCATCCTGTTTATCCCTTTTAGTCCACCGCCAGCTTATATTTGTTTCTAAAAGCGCTGGCATTCAAAATGCTTCAAGGACTGCGAGGGGGCAGTTTTCAGTGTTGTTCAACAATAAAATGTGAAACACTTGAAAAGCGCAGCTTTTGCGGCAGCGGCGGCGGCGGCGGCGTCAACGGAAACGGAAACGTCATGTACGTCATGTACATCCGTGCGCCATTTTGTGATGTCTGGCCAAATCGCTTTATTGTCCGCGTGTATGTGTGTGTGTGTGTGTGTGTGTTTTGGCAATACAATCAATCTTGCAACAAATTTGTTAGGGTCACAACAATAGCAACGAGAGCTAAGTAAAGTCTCGAGCGTGTGGCAAAAGGTATACCTAACTGTTTTGGCCCAGCTTTTGGCTGTTTTTTTTTTTCGAATGGCTCATAAAAAACTGTAGCTGTGTTCTGTGCCCGACGGCTACGTACCCTGGCACCCACCACATACAGCTGCTGGCGTGTCGGAAGCTACGTGCCAAGCGTCCGGACACGAGAAGCGCCTGCGATAACGTAATGAACTGCGTGGCGGGGGCAGGCGGTCAAAGGGAGCTGTGGAGCGTTTAAGGCGACCAAAGCGACAGGGCAAACGTAAAGCAAGGAACAAAAATTAAAAGCATTACGCATACGCAATGTAGGCCAAGCGCTGCAATTGTTTAACCTAATGGCAATTTTCAGCTCACATTTTAACCCTTCGTGGGATCGCGGTGTTTGTACTGCACTCAAACGGGGGGGTGCGGGCGGTTGACTAATTAAAAGGCTCCGGCATATACACATGCAGGGCGGGCAGAGGGCGGGGCAGGCCGGCTGCTTCTTTGGCCAGTTCGTTTGCCAGCGCAGCGCAGCGTGAAAAAAAGCGAGGGTGCAAAAGGAAAGTGGCGAGAAAAATTTATGTGGTTAGGGCGAGGGGAAGTGTAGGGGAAGCTGAGGTAAGGGGCGGCAAGGCACAGGCACGAGTGGCATAAAAGAAAGCGAAATTATATTGACTTTGATTTTTCAAATTAATTTCCCTTTTTTTTCCACTTCTCTTTGAATTAATGGTTGCCATGGGGTTACTTTCGGGTACCTTCGCTCCAATTTTTATTGGATAACTTATTGCATTGCGCAATAAACTCAATGTTTAATGCGAAGTGTTGAAACAAGAATTAAAGGTTGGGCAATTCTTATTTTTTATAAGCTGTCATCTCTACTTCTATGAAGAATATATAATCGTGATCAGTATCAAAAGCCGTGACGATATTGTGACCCCTAACTAAAGCCTTAAAGTCCTTTTCCCTCCATTTTGAATAGGGTCAGGGCATAAAAAGTCAGACAAAAGAGATATTTATTCTTTGGCATGCGCAACGTAGCACAGAAACAAAAGCAGAAAATATTTATGTTTTTATAAATATTTGAAAATATAGTTTATGTAAATTGGGAAATGTTTCAGAGTTGAATAAATTGATTGTAAATTCCGATGTTCATTCTATCCTTTTAATGTGTGTGTGCGTGTGCAGATGTTTTTGCAATTATTAGGCACCAATGCTGAATGCAATAATATTTATGTGCAAAATGCAAAATCATAATTCACAACTAAAAGCACAATAAATCGAAAACAACAAAATACCACACAGTCGTATACAAATACCAATACAAATGCGGACACGCATGCACGGACGAGAGTATTTTTGTTAAATTGGGAATATGTAAAATTGTGCATAAGTAATTTTAACGCATTTTTGCTGTTATTTTAATTGTGAGAGTATTGAAAATCAAATTTGTGCTTTTATTTATTCAACGGCACAGAATGTTTGCGTTGAGCCCAAGGCAATGACTTTTTATAGAAACTCTCCTCCAATTGCTCTCTTCTTCTAAGCTGGTAATGAAGTTAATGGTCGAGGTGTGATTATTAATCTTTAACTGCAGTTCGACTCGCAGATCAGCACCGTGGTCAATAAGCCTTTCATCAAGCGAAAGTACAAGGAATTTGAAGATCCGTACACGATCTTATCCTGTTCCTGAGGTGTCTTACGTGCCTGATTCTCACAATGTTCGACTTATCAAGACAGAATTAAATCTGTAAGCGAGAAAATCTTGTTGTTCGACCTCCATAGATTGAACTGTGATCCTGATGTTCGATTACCAACCTACTCCAGCCGGCTCCTGATAATTAACCTCCCTTCATTAATTGTTATAATATTTATTCATAATTATTTACGTGCGAAAATTTGTTTGACAAGTAGTATTCAGAATATAATAGAAAATATTTAAGATTAAATCATTTTTTTTTATTTTCTGATCTATTTTCTTATTTCCCAATCTTGAAGAGCTATGCATTTTTTTACCCGAGCAAAAATGCTCGAGATTAGATCTAAGAAAATATCGAAATTAATTAGAAGCCGTCAGGATGATAAAACCAACCTTTCATATAAATGTGTTCGTCTAATTTTCCACATATGCGCTTGAGTTTTTCCAAAACCCATTCTATAAGTTGGCTAAAGCTAAAAATTAAATTCCGTTAATCACTAAGCCAGTCGCACAAAAAGTTGTTTATATATTGATATAAAACATAATAAATCAATAGCAAATTTTATGCAATCTTTCAATAACACTAGCCCGAGGTGAAATGTGGACTCCGTCTCAAAGAGCAACACGCTTTATGTCCGTGTGACCATAAACACATCGACATAAAATTGGCAAGCCATCAGTTAAAGGCATTCCGGTGGATGAGGAGAGGTATATGCCTGGCATGGGCAGGAGACGGTAAGTCCGGAACTACAGTGTACACAAGTATGGACTGCATAGCTGAATGCATTTTTATGCACCATGTAATCACAGAGCATTTGTTGTTGCAGCCGTTGCTGCTGTAGATGTAGCTGTGGATGCAGCTGGTGTTGTTGTTTTTGTTGTTATATGCAAACTGGCAACAGAGCTTGGGATAGAAAACAGCAGCCAACATAGCCGCAACCTGACGAATACATTGCGCACCTTTATAGGTCCACGTCTAGATACCAGTCTGGCCTGTATGCATAAGCGCACACATAGAAACACGCACCTTCATACACATACACACACACACACACACACACACACACACACACACACACACACACATACATAGATATATTTATGGTCGTTAAAAAGGAATAAAGGACTACTGAGCGCTAAGCACCACATGCCTGCCATGGCCGAGGCTAAGCAGGTGGAGCTGCGCGTAGTCAACGGCAACCGACAGAAGAATTTATGGCGCTTGGAATCAGTTCGAAACTACTTAAAATACCTTTTGGCATTTTGCAGTTGAAATATATGGTCTCTGGTCGTGTGCACTGTGTACAGGCAATACCTACTACATACTACGACCGTGTGCAGCAAGCTATGCAACGTCGTGCAACCCGATGTCCTGCTGCCCCCTCCACCCCCTCACCCAACTCCGGTACGGTACAAAAAATTCATTTGACTGCTTTTTGGAGCTGCTTATCTTGAGCTGCCTGGCGACTTTGTTTTTAGCCGTAGCAGCATGTTCTGGTATTTCCTAAACTGCATTCCATTGTTACTTCTTGTGCTGCTGCTTCCTCTTCCACCATGGGCCAGCTTGTTTTATTATGCGCAGACATGCTGGCAGTTGTTATAATGCAGCCATAAGCATAGGTTCCATCCGAGTGTGTACCTGATCCCTGTTATGTATTGCATATATATGGAGAGTGCATGAAATTGTTGCCTGCATCGTCATAGTTCTCCTTGGAAAGGGGCATTAGCAAGATTACGTCTGTCTGGGCTGCTGTTTTGGCATGCAAAGGCTTGAGAACTATAAACATATGTATATAGAAATATGCAAATATATAAATATTTTTATATATTGCATATATTTAAAATTAAAAAGATACCCTGTCTAATGCTTCGAGCTACGGTAACGGAAATTTGAGCTTCATTCTACACAAAAACTACGCAGCTTTCTCTGTGTTTTCTTCAAAAAACAAAAAAAAACAAAAACTCGATGGACGAAGTGTGTACCATATCAAATTCGTTGCTCTTAGCTCTTAGAGCTTTACAAAATAAATAAAATTAATTTCATACGGACGAACAATTGACTTGACCAGATCGATTCCTGATCATAAATGGTTTATGTGCTCATAGATGATTTGCACAAAACCATAATAAGCTTTTTATCCTGTGATTATGGATATAGGGCGTAAAAATAAATGTATGCATAAATATTTTTTTTACATTTTTTCTTCTTGCGTCGGTTAATTTACGAAGGAAAATTTATTTTTGATTGAATGAGGTTGACATAAGAATCCACTGGACCTTTTAATTTCAAGCTACAAATAATATTGCAATGATAATTTGCTGTTAAAAGTACAACAGTAAAATTTTGATGGATCGGACATACAAAATGAAAGGTGATCCTATTTTTGTTTTTCAATAAAAAAGTCATCTATTGACTCCAATTTCTATTGTTCTGATAAAGTAATATTTTTTGAATGCAACATAAATTTGAAAGAAAATCTTTAGATACAGAAGATTAACTAATTGATTAAAAACATACATATATTTTATGGAGTCAGGGAGAACTGCCTCAATGCGTTCGACATTCCAATGGAACATTTCGTGGGCCTTGCGATATCATAGGTAATATACATGCATGCTTTAATATTAATTACCTTTATAAGAAACTAGACAAGCTAGATTGTAGTCTTGTTCCTTTTCATTTTGTACACTTTTCAAAGTTGCACCAAATGTTGCATGCAACAAATGCTTCACACTCAAGTATTCCCAAGTGTCTGTGCCATTTAAGCAGCTGTTGAGTGACAAGGACAGCAAGCTTAAAGTGTTGCTAGCCGATAAAAAAGAATGTTGCAAGGGTAGAGTCGGGGAGGGGGAGCTAAGGGGAAGACAGAGGCAGCATTTAACGAACGGAAAATGTCGAGGAATAGGCAAAGTGTATACGCAACAGAAATCAGCACGGCACGGACATGTTTGCATGCATAAATAGCAAAAGGACATGGCCGCAGGACTCACTATATAGGACTATCGGCCTGCATGTGAGTGTGTGCGTGAAGTTTAAGGCATGCACACACCCACACATACGTTAGCAACAACAACAAGTTATGGTTATTAATTTTGCGTATGCAGAAGGCAGCACAGGAAGGACGAACTTAAGCTGCCGTCCATGGCTGGCCAGGCCAGGACAAGGGCGACTGCAATCCGCTTTGCAAAGTGTTGCTCACAGGATTTACAACGAAAGCAACAGAGCAGAGTGTCTGATTTATGTGTGTGTCTGTGTGTGTGTGTGTGCGTGTAAACGCCTAAAAGGCAGCCGCAATATTTTAGCTGTTGTGTGCAAGTAGATATGCCGTGTCCGAGTGCCATCCGCCTGTTTCATGCTAAATTATTTTATCTAACAAGTATACGACATGTTGCTGCATGTTTATGCTTATGGCCCGGCCCACACTCACCGTCAAATTGTTATCCGATAGATCCAAGTGCTTCAGCGAGATGAGTCCCTCAAAGGCGCCCACATCCAGCTCGCTCATCACGTTGCCGCGCACGCTTAGGGCCAGCAGCTCTTTGAGGCCTTCAAAGCTATCGTTTCGCACGAACTCGACAAGATTATCGGACATGTCCAGGCTCTTGAGCGCATGCAAATGCCACAAATTGTTGGCGGGCACATCCAGCAGGCGATTGTTGCGAAAGACGAGCACCTCCAGCGACAACATGCCCTTGAAACAGTTGTCCTCGAGGCTGACAATATTGTTGTTGGTCAAGTCCAGTTCCACCAGCGCCGCCAAATCGCCCAGCGCCGTGGGATGCACTGTCTCAATGCGATTGTAGCTAAGATCGAGAAGCAGTAGATTCGTTAGTCCCTTGAAGGCGTGCTTGTGCAGGGCGCTGACCAGATTCCTGCTCAGGTTCAGGGTGCGCAGCTCCGTCTGGTATTCAAAGTTCTTGGAGCCCAGCGTTTCGATGATGTTTTGCGAGAGATCCAGCACCTCCAACTTCATGTAGAAGGGCAGCGTAAACTCCAGATTGCGTATGCGATTCAGCGTGAGGTTTATGTACTTTGTTTCCGGATTCAGCTGAATGGGCACATCCTCCAACGCCGCATCCACGCACAGGGCGCGACTATTCGCATCGCCGCCCAGGCATTGGCACTTCGAGGGGCAGAAGGCATCTGTGCGGCCAGGTAGCAGCAGCAGCAGCAGTAGTAGCGGGAGAAGGTGCACCAGCAACCAGGACAACGCTGTCGGCCCCGGTGCCAGGGAAGGAGGTTTGCTGTCCTGTCGCCACTTTGTGTGTGAGTTTGTTGTGTTGCTGCTGTTGTTGTTGTTGTTGCTGTGTGTGTCGGTTTCCATTTTGTTGGTCGTTAATGTGGACCTCAACGGCCTCCTCTGTCTCCTTGTTGCTGTTGTTGTTGTTCCTGCTGTTGAGTTACTTATGGTTGATTTGAGGTGAGTGTGATGCAATATCACCAGTTATTGGACGTCATTGCTGACAGAGTTCTAAACGCAGAGAGAAGAAGAGAAAAACATAAGACTGAATTAGTTTTACAATATGAACTATGTTATATATGCTATTTATTTATATCTATAAATAAAACTGTTTCGGGACAATCCACCCGCATGTGTGGTAAAATCGCGAAAAACGTTTGTTTGAAAATTTTTTGTTTACCATCCGATCAGTTTCAAAGTTAATCAGTAAATCTTAAGGTTAAAATGTTTTATAATTTTAAATGCCTTTCCAGAGCATCTTCCATCTGCTATTCCTTTGACATCGCAGCGTAGCAGCATAGTCACTCAATGGAGTCCTTCGGCATATTTAATAAAGTTAATAAATAGGAGACATTTGAAATTTTACCTGATTGTTGAGATTTTAAATCATATTTTTAAACGGTACTTTACGAATATGTATGCTTTTGAAAAATGCTTTAAATTGTCCAGTTCTTGGCAGCTTATGATCCTTAACTAGAACTATTACAGTGCGTTATGCAAAACTTTTTGGACGGCGCACATTAAGAGAAACTGCCGACAAGCCTGGACTGCCTTTGCATCTAAACCATAAAATGCAGCAGAGCTAACTCAATATCATTTTCATTTCCTACTTAACTCACCGCTCGTCGTCTGGAAAGTCAGCAACTTTCTATGCGAATTGTCAGCACTTTTCATCGACCTACGAGTTTTGACTTTTGCTTTGGCTCCAGCTCTCTGAGTTTTCAGGTCGGTCTCGACTTTTATGAAATATTAGCGCGTAACTTATGCGCATAAATCTTGCGGCGTGTCTCTAAAAAGCGAGCGTGTTAAATAAACTGGCAGCAGCCGCAAAAGTTTTTTTATGAATTACGCACCCCAAAATACAGGAGGCATCTAACCTCGAAAGAGGTGTTGCTGCAGCAGCACGAGCCACAGACTGATTTCCATATTAAATCTGTTTTTGAAATACTAAGCAGAACGTCATTGTCAAGAATTTTAACCATTAAAGGTATGCTAATTGTCAGTTGAAAGCCTTAAACATTTTATTTTAATTTCAAATTCATTATAGAAATAGATGAGAAAAACTATTGCATACCTTTCGGCTGATCGCTTAAAAACAAAACTCTGTTCTGGTATTTGCCATTGCCTACTTTGAGGATGAGATTTAAATAAAATGGGACTCACACCCATTTAAGATTTGTTTGTCCCTTTCAGCTACTGCCTAACGCATGCACATTATTTAAATTAAATATTTGCCCTTTGGTCAACACTCAATTAGGTAATTAACAAATTACATGCATATCTTCCGGTGTCTTAGCCTCAACCCGTTAAGTCATTTAAGGCACTTGTCTGGCTGGCTGCCTGTCTGTCTGTCTGCCTTTTACTCTGCGATTTGCATATGACAAGTGCAAACAATGAGAATACCTTTCAGAATCACCCCGCCACCCTCAACCCCTAAACCTCTTTCTCCGGTGCACACGCTGCCAATTTGAACAATGCTCTTAACTAGCTGTAAAACAAATAATAAAAGCGTAGCGCAAACTTTTGAGGTTTCATTCTGTCAACAAAAGTTGAAAGCTCACACTCACACATGCAATCCAGAATCTACACACACTTCACTCCCCCTACTTTCTCTCATTTTCCCTGCGTCTCTCTTTCTCACTCTCTTTCTCCCTAAAGTTCTACTCGCCGACATCTCAGCTTGGTCGCCAGGTCGTGGATCATATTTTCTGCCTCAATAAAATTGGTGAAAAACAAAAAACCAGCAGAGTCAACTAACCAACCAATTGTCCTTCCCCCACACACCCAACACACACACCTACTCCTGCGTGGGCTGTCAACCCCCTCAACCCCTACTCAATCGCTTTCTCTATGGCAGCGGCAAAAAAGTGAAAATTGTGAAAAATTCACTCCTGTGTGAATTATTAAGTTTCGCATGGCCATTGTTGTTGTTGTTTTTGCTCCTGTTGCTTTTGTAACCGTGCATGTGTTTGTGCTTTGTGTTTACGGTGTGTGTGTGTATGCGGTTGTTTGTTTGCAAAAAAAAAAAGCAAAAAGCACACAAAGTTTTTAATAAACTTTCGCACGCCAGCCTCACTTGACTATAGTCGAGTCCCAGCGACGTCTGCCTCTGTTCCCGCCTCCCGCCTCCTTCAGAGTGTATGTACTCTCTAAGTGGGGGCGTGGCACTGGCAAGGCACACAAATATGATTTCATTGTGGCAAATATTTTGATAGCACGCCGTCGCTTGCGGTTGCTGCGGCAGAGGAGAGGCTGCAGGTTTGAGGCTAGGGCAGTCAAGAAGCGCCCGGGCCACCCAAATTGGAGCACCCTAGAAGGCCCCGTCAAAGGCCAACAAGTTGAAAATTGTTGTTTTTGTTGCACTTTTGGCGCCCACTTTTTTACTCTGTGGCAGTTTTAATGGGGCCACCGTAATCGAAGTTGGCCCCTAATAGGCTTATAAAATGCTTAAATATGTACGCAAACTGAAGGTGCATGTAAGCCGCATAGTGAGTGCCAATCTGTGTGTGCTCAAAATGAAAGAGTGCTTAAGTCGGCTTACTTCATAATTGAGAAGGAACGATGAAGTCTGACTTGCGCTTACACTTGCAATGGGAAAATTAAGAATAATTTAAATTGGACTGGACCTACATACCTTATAAACAGAAATATGGGAAAACGAGCTTTTGAAGAAATCGTAAAGAATTCATCTCTTGCCCGTCCCTGTCTTGTCTGTACCTGAGCTTAACTTTCTGTTTGGACCGAAACACATTTAAGTCTAGGCATTTATACGTTTAATGAATAATCGGGAAGAGAAATTGAACTGGATGAAGAACTTATCTGGAATCTTTAAAGGTTTTCTAACTCAAGCAAACAGCTCGAATACGCATATTCCAATCCAGTTTTAACATTCTTGATCTTTACGGCAGTCAAGTCTTGCCAATTATTGCCTCTCCGGTTTTTTTATAAGGCTAATTTAATTATATTGACATTGCCTTGTTTTTTCGTCAGTTTATTCGAATACAAGCGTGACTGGGAGTACCTGAAACGGGAGGAACCAAGCTAAAGGGCCTTGACATACAAGCCGAGAGTCTTAGCGGGAATGCTGGGAACGGGACGTGCCAGTTAAATGTCATAAAAATGGAAAATAATAGCGACTACCGAGAAGAAGAAGCATCAAATGCTGATAATGGAAAAGCGCCTCCACTTGGCGAATCCACAGCAACAGCTCCCATTCCAGGACTTTGGCCACGCATAAAACTTTGCACATAAATTTAAAACCAGCCATTGAGAAAAAGTCTGGGAATGAGTGCTCAGTGTGGTGGTGGCGGGGAGAGGGAGGGGGGAGGATTGCGAGAGGAGACAGCGTTGACTGTAAGGCCACAAATGGTAAGCGGGTGAGGTCAGGGTTCAGGTTCAGGTTCAGGCTGCGGAAAAGCGAGGAAGCGAAGCAATCAAAGGTGAAAAACTTTGCAAACTATGCGAAAGCAAACAGGCAAAAAGTCAATATTAATATTCACTTAGCAAGGGTCTAACGGCTGGATGGGCGTGGAGTGGGGGAGGGGACGGGGGGTGGAGGGGCATGAGTGGGATATGCTGACAATGGCCAGGCAAATGCCAAGCAAATTGAAAATGCGACGAAAAACGTGAGACGCGCCAACTTTTCCACCTCAACGTGCCCGAGTGCGTTTATTTTTATCAAGATTAGCATTTGGCTCGCCTGCCGGTGCCCCACCCCACGCCCCCCTCTCAGTGCTAAGGTATTGAATAGGCAAACAGAAAAGGCAACGTCGTCGACATGGAACCCAGACAACGTTGCAGATTCCGAGCCCGATTCCCCGAGTCTCACTTTGAAGTGCGGCACGCACAAATTGTCCCTCTCATTCTCTGAGATTTCCCAGCCACGAGCGGAGACCGAAGACCGAAGACGCCGTCAAAGATGAATCGTTGATGTCGTCGCTGACACCAGGCGGCAGTTTCCCATCTGCCGCTCCTGCCCGCATTGCTTGGACCATATAATTGAGTGTCTGCAAAACTTTCAAGTGCCTCCGCTGTGGCAATTTGGCAAAAGCCTTTGCCACAAAATGTTGCCGCACGCATAATTAATGCAATTGTTGGCACAGGCACAGCCACAGACACAGACACAGGCAGAGTTTTGTTTTGTTCTGCTTAGATCTGTTCAGTTGGTCAGCCAGGGGGCCAAATTTGTTGGGGGGCACTTTTTGTCTGACAGAACTAAACGCAAAATTGTGTTCTTTTGGCCATGCTGTTAGAGCGATGCATGTTTTAGCATTCCATCTAGAGCAGAATGCTTTTAATAACTTGTACTTCTGATTCAAATTTCAAGTCAAGTTAAATATAGACAATTTAAAACTATATTCAAATAATAAAGAAAACTTGGATGTTTAATTATTTGCATACGGATAGCCGAATGCAATCAGAAATAGAACAATGACTTCTAGATAGATTTATTTTTATTTATTATTTAAATAATACAATTAAATATGACAATATAAATATGACAAATCTTGAGAATATAACATAAGAAGAAAGAACGGCTAGATTAATAACGCTTGAAGAATTTTAGTTTGTAGTAGAAAAGTCTATGCATAGTGAAGCTCGTAATTGGTAAGCTCAATGACGATATTTTATCATACAAAAACTCATTTTTTGGTCGACTCTCCCTAAATAGCTATATGATAAAGTACTAGTAGTAAAGTACTCCAATGTTGATAAGAATTGGCTGGCATGAGAGGAGAAATGTTGGCAAATAAAAAGTTGTTCATACAAGATATAACTTTTTACGGATTCTTTTTATGGTAGCTATATGGCTATATCGACCCATCTGTTGATGCTGATCAAGAGTATATATACTTTATTGGGACGGAGATTTATTTCATGACAATATTTAAACACCCTTTACAAGGGTATAAAAAGCAGGTTATTTTGAATAACTAAACAAACAAGAGTTATGAGGAATACATAGTCAATACTGAGGATTCGATATTTTGCGAGACTTGCAGTAATTCCTT